TCCCGCCCCCTCCCCTCACACCCCCCGCCCCCAACCCCCCCAAAATCCCGCCCCAAACCCCCACCGACCCCACTCTACCCCCTCTCCCCACCCCGAACTCCCCCTCCCGGCTCCGCTCGCCCTTCCAGACCCCCTCAGGACCCCCCAAAACCGCCTCGATCCCCCCCGACCCCGGCCCGGGCCCCGCCGCCATTTTACCGCGGCTCCCTCCGCTGCCTCCGCTGGGGGGCGGCGCCGCGCGGGGCACGACGGGTAGCGCCGCCTACCGGGGGGGAGGACCCGCGCCGCGCGCCGTTGCCAGGCGACGACGCCAGCGTGGCCACGCCCCCATCAAACCACGCCCCCCTCGCCTTGAACCACGCCCATCCCCCTGATGAACCGCGCCCTCTTCTTGACCACGCCCCCTTGTGGGGAAGCTGCGCTGGCGCAAGGGGCGGGGCTTGAATAAATTAGGGCGAGGCCACGCCCCCCGGGGGTATTTAAAGGCCGCGCGAAGGGATTTCTTTTTTCTTTCTTTTTTTTTATTTTTTTTTTATTTTTTTGGGGGGGGGAGGTTCCGGCTGCGTTTTGGAGAGCTCCAAAAGGAAATTTGGGATTTGGAGGGTCTGAGATTCCCAAAATCTGACTCCTTCTATTGCCGTGACTGCCCCGAATTTTTAACACACCCTCCCGTCCCCAATTATCCTCCGGTCCTGCCCCGTTTCCCCCCAAATTCCCCCTTCCTGACCTCTCCCCAACACCCCCTACCCCCTTTGCCGACCCCTCAGATTCCACCCCCCTAGAAAAGAGACTCGCGGAGCCTCAGGAGCAAATTAAAGGATCTCGGTGACGTCCACAACATGTTCACGATGCACGGTAAAAAAGGGGGGGATCCCCCCAATTCCCATCCTGAAACCCCCCTCATGGGCTCTGAGCCCCCCTAACTGCTCCCCAGCACAAAACTTCCTTTTCTGCCCCACTCCCCTTCTTTTTCCCCCCCCTGCCAAATCCAAATTTTCCACTTTCTCCCACTTTTCGGCCTCATGGAGCCGCTTTTGAACCCCAAATCCTACTCCCAAGCCCCCAGATTCCCTCCCTGCACACCAAATTTCCCCTTCTCACACCGAAATTCCCCCATTTACACCCCAAAGTCCCTTCCAACACCCCAAAATCCCCCCAATTACGGTGCAGTAACACGGAAACATTTTGAACCTCTGCGCCCAAGTGGGACCCTGACCATAAAACCCTTGAGCTCCTCTCATTTGTCTTGCAGTTTTCCCTTTTCCTCTCACATTTCCTGACCTTTCCTCCCCTCACGTTTCCCGCTCTTTTCTCCCCTCACGTTTCCCGCCCTTTTCTCCCCTCACGTTTCCCGCTCTTTTCTCCCCTCACGTTTCCCGCTCTTTTCTCCCCTCACGTTTCCCGCTCTTTTCTCCCCTCACGTTTCCCGCTCTTTTTCTCCCCTCACGTTTCCCGCTCTTTTCTCCCCTCACGTTTCCCGCTCTTTTTCTCCCCTCACGTTTTCCACCATTTTTTCCTCTCAAAATTCCACCTTTTCTCCCCTCACGTTTCTCATTTTTTACCTGTTTTCAACCCTTTTCCCTGTCATGTTTCACACCCTTTTCCCCTCACGTTTCCCACCCTTTTCTCCCCTCACGCTTCCTGCCATTTTCTCCCCTCACATTTCCCATTTTTACCTCACCTTTCCACCCTTTCCCCCTCACATTTCCCACTTTTTTCCCCTCCTAATCCCTCCCTCTTCTCCCCTCACTCTTCCCCCCCTCAAATCTGCCTTTTCCTGTTGAATTTTCCGCTTGTGCCGGGTGTCTCTGTGTCACCACAGGCCTCGCTCTCCCCTCTCATCCACACAGTTTGCTTTGTTTCATTGCTGCTTTAATCAAATCATTTTTAACTCAACCTGGGAGTGTTTTTTACCCGCGGTTCTCCTCTCCATCCCTCAGCAGGAGCGAGAAGGGAATCCGAGTGTTGCTTTTGGTGGCACCTTGGGGACGATGTCACAAAGGGCTGGTTGTGACACGCCACCCTCCCCTGGCAACAGCTCCCAGGTTTTGTTGGATTGGAACCAACCCTCAGATATTCACCTGACAAAACTTTCCCGGTTCTTTACACCCTGATCCTTTTTGTTTTGGCTGTAAAATGGAGAAGAGACCCCCGAGACGGCCCAGGGTGGCCTGGGAGGAGGTGGGGACGCCTCAGGAGAGAGGAGCTGCGGCGGAGACCAGCGAGGGGAACACGGTGCGGCCGCTGCGGCGCGGTGAGTGAACTGGGACCAGTTCCACACTGGGATCAGGGAAATGGGATCTCAGGGCTGGGACTGGAACCAGTTCCATACTGGGATCAGGGAAATGGGATCTCAGAGCTGGGACTGGAACCAGTTCCATACTGGGATCAGAGAAATGGGATCTCAGAGCTGGGACTGGAACCAGTTCCATACTGGGATCAGGGAAATGGGATCTCAGGGCTGGGACTGGAACCAGTTCCCATACTGGGATCAGGGAAATGGGATCTCAAAGGTGGGACTGGAACCAGTTCCATACTGGGATCAGAGAAATGGGATCTCAGGGCTGGGACTGGAACCAGTTCCCATACTGGGATCAGGGAAATGGGATCTCAAAGGTGGGACTGGAACCAGTTCCATACTGGGATCAGAGAAATGGGATCTCAGGGCTGGGACTGGAACCAGTTCCCATACTGGGATCAGGGAAATGGGATCTCAAAGGTGGGACTGGAACCAGTTCCATACTGGGATCAGAGAAATGGGATCCCAAAGGTGGGACTGGAACCAGTTCCATACTGGGATCAGGGAAATGGGATCCCAAAGGTGGGACTGGAACCAGTTCCATACTGGGATCAGGGAAATGGGATCTCAGGGCTGGGGCTGGAACCAGTTCCATACTGGGATCAGGGAAATGGGATCCCAAAGGTGGGACTGGAACCAGTTCCATACTGGGATCAGGTTTCCAAAGGGGATCTCAGGGCTGGGAGGGATGCCCAAGATGAGGAAGGGGACGGGATGTGGAGGGGTGCTGAGGATGAAGAAGGGTTCAGGATGAGGAGGGGTTCAGGATGAAGAAGGGTTCAGGATGAGGAGGGGTTGAGGATGAGGAAGGGTTGAGGATGAGGAGGGATGCCGAGGATGAGGAGGGGGTTGAGGATGAGGAAGGGGCACAGCAGAGGGGCTGCAGCTCCTCCCCCTGCTCCCCTCAGCGCTGTCTCCTCTCCCCACCCTGCAGACACCAGCTGGGCTCCTGCTCACGCACGGGGAGCCCTGACCTTCATCCAGAGCTTTGTCAGCAGCCCCGAGCAGGTAACCCCGGGGTCTGGGGGGTGTCCTGGGGGGCAGCTGCTCCCCAGAGCTCTGGGTGTTCTCTCCTCACCCCCAGAGCTCTGGGTGTTCTCTCCTCACCCCCAGAGCTCTGGGTGTTCTCTCCTCACCCC